CAGGCTTCTAGTAGGACTTGGATTGAGTAAACTATAAAAGAGAGAGGCACCCCCGTGGGTCTAAGGTACGCAGTTTTATATTCAAGCTTGTGAGTTTAGAACTTGATTATCTTTGAGAGATATACTGACTTGATCGTCGGAGTGCCCCCGGGTGGAAGAGCCACCGCCGGAACCCTTTCTTTCTGTTACAGGTTACTGGAGCCATCTATTCTGCCGGTGCTCTCCAGCTGATTACTAGGCGGGCAGTGTGGTAAGAAAATTACCCACACAATTTGGCGCCGTCTGTGGGAATCTTAGAAGAACAGATGGCCAGTAACGGACAGAGGGAAAACATTGGGGGCGACACTCGTGCTGGGAGTGGTAGACCAATTGACCTTGACGTCAAAGGAGACAACCACAATACAAAAAATCATGACCAGGGCCACGGAGAAAGAGACGTCGGCCAGGAGGACAATACTTCAAAGAAAACAGACCAAGGCCAGTACTACAATGAAGATAACCTTCAGGTATGGAAGGATAGGTGCCTACGAAGGGATGAGGAAGTAAAAGACTTGGCAAACAAACTGGTAGACCTACAGTCAGTGGTCAACTTCATGATGCAAAACAATGTTATGCAGCCACCATACCCGCTGCAAGATATGCCGATGCCAGCGATTAATACCCAGAAGGGAGGAAGAAAAGCAATCCCCGAAGCCCCTCAGCACACCAGGAGTGGAAGCCACTCTCACCGACCTTCCAGGGAAGTCGGACGAGAGGAGCCAAGGCAAGAAGAGTCCCGAAGGACACATCACATAAAGGACCCAAGGCCCAAAGAACATCGGAATATTCAAGGCCAAGCACTCTGCTTTGACACAACCCATGAAGAAAGATCGAAACGGGCCCACCACGAGGCCGAAAGTAGTGTGCCAAAAAGATTGAAGTCCAGAGATAGCCGAGCTCCCGGGAGGAGTAAGGAAGACTTTAGGGACTACTTCAAAAGGAGGTAGCAGAATGTTGAAGCCGAGGTAACTTCCGCAGTAAAGCCGAGAACACCATTCTCGGTGGAACTAGACAAATTTAAAGCACCAAAGAGATTCAGTATGCCAAGGTTCCAAATTTATGATGGTAAGTCAGACCCCAACTTTCATGTTGGACTATACCTGAACTCAATGGCGCTATACAGTGGGAACGAGCCGTTGCTCTGCAAAGTATTTCCCTCATCCTTTGGGGAAATTGCATCCGATTGAAAACTACCAAAGGGAAGCGTAAGACATGGAAGGCCTGGCCGAGATGTTTGTGGCCAGGTTTGTGACGAACAAACTACAGCCCCTGAGGGTCGACGCCCTGATGGCTTTAAGAATCACCAAGGAAGAAGGCCTTAGGGCCTACGCGAAGAGATACTACGAGGTGTTCAATCGAATACCCGAATGCAACCAAGAAGTGGCGGTCGTATCCTTCAAGAACGACCTTAAAGATGACTGCCCACTATGGAAGTCTTTGGCAAAAACACTGCCAAAAAGCATGGAAGAACTCATGGCAAGAATTGAGAAGTACGCCAGAGCCGAGGAAGATACATCGGGAAACAAAGAGATAAAGCAGGAGAAAGCAAACGGATCGCCGAAGCGAGGCCAAGGTAACAACGGACCATCCAAACAAGAAACAGAATTGAAGGTCAAACAGGCAGTGACGACGGTGTTCCGAATCCCCATCCATAAAGTCTTGGATCAAATACGAAACCAACCCTATTTCAGACCTCCAGCAAGAGCACCAGGGGAATTCATGGGAAGAAGCATGGGTAGGCGTTGTGCTTACCACAATGAAGAAGGGCACCCAACACAGGGTTGCAGAGCCCTAAAAGCACACTTAGAAGACTTGGTAAGGCAAGGCCATCTGAGGGACCTTGTTGATGAAGCCAGGACTAGAGAAGAACAGGCAAGATTGCCTCAAGCACCAGCAGCTCCACCACCTCCAGCACAGCAACCACAGGTAGGAGGACCAAGGGTGGTTAATGTGATCCACTCAAGGGTCAACGAGAACGAAGTCAGAGGCGAGACCGAGAGGGTAAGGCATTTACAGCATGTGTAGACACCCCATTTTTGACCGCCCTTAAGACTTGGGCACCACTGATGTTTTGCTTGGCGGAGAAAGGTGTGCAGGGCAAAGGTTCAGTTTCTTCGGCAAGAAGAGAGACAAATCCCAACTTCACACCCCATTTTAGACCAGAGCTATTTTGAATGGTTTTTAGACCTTAAAAGCCCCTCTTTTGAAACATTTTTGAAATAAAATTTCTACGATGTTCCGAGGCTCACATTTTGTCAAAAAATGCGCTTTTCGATAAACCGAGCAAGGACAAGGTGGAAATGAATGAAAGAGAGATGAAATCTTTGAAAAATCTTTCAAAAGACCTTGCTTAGGGGTTTGAAGTTGAAGAAAAGAGGAGAAGAGGGGAGAAGCCAAGTTGGAGAAGAAGATAGGCAAGAATCGCTAGGAGAGGGACGGGCAGTCCTCGCTAAATCAAGCTTATCAGTCTATACACTTGGAGTTAATCTATGAGGCCACCCCCGTTGGAAAGAAGACTTCCGAGGCTTCATTTTTCATTCAAGAATCTCTTAAATCCGAGTCCGGAGGGAGGAGATATGATTGGTTGAAGTGGGGCATCATCCCGGTTGGACCAAAACTGAGCAGCCTTCACCAAAATAAGCATAACTTTGTTTACAGTTGGAATTTTGATACAAGGCTGGTGCCATTGGAAAGCTTACTTCCGGGGCTTCAATTTTGACACAAGATTGACCAAAAAAGGAGTTCATATGAAGAAGTTATGCCCGTTTGAAGTTGGACCTGCAGAGCAGATTTTTCCTGCCGACCGACCAAATATATGGCCGACCGGCCAAATAGATGGCCGACCGGCCAGAACAGATGGCCGACCAGCCAAATAGATTGCCGACCGGCAGATTAAAGTAGTCGACTGACCTTTTTTGCTAGCCGACGACCTTCCGGAGCATTCTGCAGATTGAATGGATGCCAGCTGTGGCAGCTGGAATGCACAGACCCTGCTCCCCATGCACGTGTGTGGCTGTTTTGCACCTTTTGCACACCTTTTGACCCTTTTTTTTGCACCCTTTGCTCAAAGCTTCTTGAGGAAGCTTTGACCCCTTGTCTTGGCTTCCTCAAGAAGCTTGCACCTTTGCATTAGCTTCTCTTAGAAGCTTGGTCCCTTTGACCCTTTTGTATAGCTTCTTTGAGAAGCTTTATGTCATTTTCCTTGCTCTATAAAAGAGACCCATCCTCCTCTATTGTTTTGGTTCAGCAAAATTAGACCTAATACATACATATAACATATATATCACCCTCTCTCTCTCTATATCTCCCTCTCTCTCTACATTTGGGTGTGTTAGAGTGTTCAAAGGCCCTTGTTCTTGGCCTATTTGCACTACACCACCTAGCACTACACTACCACTTCCATTTCCAGCAGCTGGAGGTCCTTCTTCAAGGCCTAGGAGTCACCAAACTCAAGCCAAGAAGCTATCAAAGTTTGGTCTTCAAGGGTAAGTAGCATTCTCTCTCTTTTGAGCTTATTTTTGTATCATTCCTTAGCCATATTTGCTTGTTGTTTTGGGCTCTGACCCAAACTATAAATCATCATATTTTGAGGTCCTCTTCATGTTTGATTGAGGACCTCTTGCTGTTTGAGGACAGTAGCTTGCGCTTGCTTCATTACCCCTCTTAAATGCCATTATCTTGCCTGTTATTCTTGGCATATACGTGATCTGTTTTGGAGCATGATATAAACTGTAAATAGGCTTATTTTGAGCCCTGCATCTCTATACAATTTAGAAATTTATCAAATGGATGTAAAAACCGCTTTTTTAAATGGTGAGTTACATGAAAAAATTTACAT